CAAGAGTACTCCAAGAATGAGAACTTGGAAATCACCGAAATTTGGCTGGGAAGTCACTGAAGAGGAAGAATTTCCCCTTCAGAAACCGAGATGCTTTCCTTAAGTGCTTAGCTGATATCTAGTGAGAAGCATGTAAAGGTTTCTTTATAGGCCTTTCTGATCTTATCTTCATTGAAAGGCAAGTCACAGAATCACAGAATCGCAGAATCGTTTAGGTTGGAAGGGACCTCTGGAGATCATCTCGTCCAACCTTCCTGTTCAAGCAGGGTCACCTAGAGCATATTGCCCAGGATCACATCCAGACGGCTTTTGAATATCTCCAGGGAAGGAGACTCCACCACCTTTCTGGGCAACCTGTTCCAATGCTCTGTCACCCTCACAGTGAAGAAGTTTTTTCTCAGGTTCAGATGGAACTTCCTGTGGTTCAGTTTCTGCCCGTTGCCTCTTGTCCTGTTGCTGGGCACCACGGAGAAGAGGCTGGCCTCATCCTCTTGACACTCCCCCTTCCGCTACTTGTACACGTTGATGAGATCCCCTCTCATCCCCTCTCATCCCCCTTGATTGCCATCAAGGCTTCTCAAGATAGACTGTATGCAGCCAATCTTTTTGTCACCATCCCTGCTGCCATACAAAAAACACTGTATTGTAGTGGTCCTGAAATTGTCTACTGCCATGAACTAGTAATGAGTTGTCTTTCTAGGAAAATGGCTTTAAATTCATCCTTACATTTTTCTGGCAACCTGTCCAGAAATCAAATCAGTCTCATCCCTGGCTGAATGGGTATTTTTTCTTTCAAAAGGATCTATTCAGTTTGATTCCTTGTCCCTTAAATGAAATCTGAACCATAGCTTCACTTCATTGGCTGCTAAAAACTAGTACTGAAAATACTCCAAGACATATGAATAGGACTTGAGATCCATGCTACATGTTTCATTCTGAGATGAAAGCCAAAATAAGTGCTTTCCAGATCTAAAGTCCTCTGTTCATAACTGTAGACTGAATCTCTAACAGTAAGAATCTCTAACAGTAAGACTCTCTCTGACTCACTAATAGTAAGAGCAAGACGTTAAATGTAATATGACTGCCCATGAACAATTCTGAGAGCGCTTCAAGGATCTCTGCCATTTTGAAGAGTTTTTGTATCACCTGTGACAGGAACCGATGCTACCACTACTTCAACCTAAAATGACTATGTTGATCTCATAGAAGAACGCTTTCCTTACGATGTAGGAGGAAGGCGCTTTACTGTTGCACTAATGATGATCTGCCTCTCTCTAAGTTGAAGATGTTGTGACGGCAAATGTGGCCAGCTCTGGTGTAGGTGAGTGAGCTGAGAATATTTGTTGGATAACTATCCTTTGTGCCCTTGAAGAGAAGAGGTGAAGTGATCTTTGCCCTTGGTGATTTTATTCTGTGTGGAATCAGGTGTACAAATGCATTGCTAACTTTGTCACTGTAGAGAAATAATGAAATTGTCAGGTGTCTTTGCACTGATGACTCACTAACTTCCTCATGCTTATGTCATGATGACAAGGTGCTCTTTTGCCCTGCAGAAAGAATGTGTTTCAAAGGCTTTTATATATAGAACTAGATAGTGTTTACTAATGAATATATTCTCCTTGACACCTGTGAAATGGCTGACATAAGCCCTTTAAAAACTAGTATTTAAAGTGAAAAACTTGAAGGAGTGGAGTTTTCTTCTTTATGTCTAACCTCTGAGTCAGACACCTCATTTACAGACTTTACTATCACAAAAACAGAGCTTCATCAATTTTTGTGTATTTTCAAAGGGAGTTACAAAGTCATGGAGTTCATAGATTCACACTAGAACAATAAAGACATTAAACAGATCCATCAGCATGTTGCATCACGGACTGCTTTTAAAGCCTGTAGTCTGGATTCAGCCACGGTGCTTGCGGATGGCTCCAGTAATGACACTTACCCTAACAAATGCTAAATGTCTCGTCTTTTGCCAATGGATTGAAATAACTGTTAGCAAAGAAAGAGAAAGCTAAGTACAGTAATCAAAGACAGGAAAGATACAACAATTCTCGGACTACGGTATGGATTGGGATTTTGACATTGTTTCAGTGCTATGTTCAGCTATCAGAAGCCAAGTTACGGCTAAGTTCACTCTATTCTTTAGGCTCTTGTCAGAAAGAGTTTGATAGTAGCCAGAAGAAAAAAAATGGTATTTAGTGAATGTTAATGAAGAAAATTACCTAAACAAATACTCGGAGAAGAACTAAGGAATATAGTATGCTCATCACACATTCAGACTTAGTAAGCAGCATTCTGTCTGTCATACAAATAGCAGGGATTTGTTGTTCCCGTAATGCTCCAGCTCTTTTCTAAGGATGTTCCTATACTCTTCCATATATTCTTTCTTATCTATAAAAGAATAGATGCCATTCCCAGTTTCTCAACTTCCTCCAGAATAGTTTGTGTTATTTGTGTGCATGTGTGCGTGTGTGTGTCTGCGCATGTGGTTTTCTTTTAGGAGTGCAAAGATTGAATCATAAAACTCTTTTCTTGAGATGTCTAATTAATCATCTAGAAGGCAGAAAACTGAGGAGGTAGAGGGGGAGTAATCAATGTTTGCATCCTGTAGCATTCACGTTCAATTATACTGCTGAAACATGGAAGCAGCAATGTTTTAAAGCAATTAAGCAGTGTTACACATTACAGTTATTCTGGAATCTAGCATAGTCTATGCTTTCATTACTTCAGATATGTCCCTCTTATTCCCAAAATTAGACTGCACTTAATGAAATAAGATATGTAGCTATCTGGCAAGTAGCAACAGCTGACAATCATAAAATAAGCATCACAATGGAAGGTAGGGAAAATATGTCTTGCTTTCCATTCCAGTATTTTCAGAGAGTCAATGATCTCATTTAAACATCAGCGTAGTGTATACAACAAACAGCCCTGAGGTTTCACAGGGCAATCTGATGGCTCTTCTGTACATGAATTCCACATACCATCCTAACCCTTATGCATTGTCCCAGCTGCCACACCTCATTGCAAATTAAGAACGAGTAAATATAAGTTGCCTCTCGGGAATTATAATAACGCATTCTTGGCCTCATTTATGCATATCTTTCAACTATCCCTTGTTTTAGCCTTCAGTTTCTATCTTTCATATACATATACATATGCATCACTCGCTTGAGAATTATGTACCGACTTGAAGCCAAAATCTTAGAAGACAGTATAGCTGCACATTTATAAATGTCTTGGGAAGTGGATATCTCCCTGGGAATATAAAAGACTAGAATTTCCTTGGTTCCTCCACCTGTTATTTACACAGGATGTTCTATTTATGGTATCACGAATAACTAACTATTTCTTTTTTTTGTTTGTATAAGCAAAACAGAACATTACAATCAGATAAAAATTTAACATAACCAAGCCAAACTCTGATCTAACCCAGTCTCCTGTCTTCAGCAGTGATCAAAAGCAGATGAGTAGGGAAAAATATATGACATTACTTTTATATGATACACTGTTCACTTATCTATGCCTGTAGTTACTCATGCCTCTTAAGATATTCATGCCATGCCTTCTGGGCTCCATTCATCGTGTTTAGATTTTTATAATACGCTATGAAAGAGTGAATAACAATACTGTAACACTGAAAAAGGGTTTTACAGTTTTCCTAAATGTCCTTTAGTTTTCAGTCACCCAACTCCTACTTGGCATTACTCTCTCAAGACATTGGCAGTCCTTCACCCAACCCTTCACACCATTGGGTTGAAAAGATAACAGTGAACTAAATTTGCTTTTGTTCTACCAGTAAGGTCAGCCTTACTCGTCAGCCTTAGGCTGTAAGGTCAGTAAGGTCAGCCTTAGGCTTACTAGGTTGACTGACTCAAGACACCCCCCCCAGAATGCCTGCGAAGGTACATGGTTTCCTGTCTGTACTGAAAACCTCAAACCTGCTGATTCAAGGGGAAATACTTCTGCAAAACCTGGCGAGAAATTGCTCTGTGCGTTCAACAGCTGCACAAGAGAAGCGAAAGAAAGAAAACAAAATTCACATTACACATTCCTGAAAGCAAAGGGGTGGAAGAGTAACAGGGTGTGACATCAGAAGTTTCTGAATAAAAAGACTTGTGGTTTCTGTCACTGAAACTGTGTGGTTAAGTTTCAGATGTATACGGAAAGTATACATCTGGTACATAAGACCAGGTTATTCTCTTCTTATTCATACCGCTTAATCCTTTGACCAGCAGAAAATCAAGTGTCTGAATTCAAGTTCTCTGTTTATCATTATTTTGATGTACCGTCTGAGACCACGTATTTAACTTGAATTACACTAAGAAGAATTTAAAAATGGAACCCAGAATGAACGTGTCCTGACAATGCTTGTGGATGTAGACTTGCCTTTATTTTTTTAAATAACTAAGTAGACTCCTTTGTTTCTGCGCATAAAAACTAAACAGCTGGAGAAGTAGAGGACATATGTAAAGACTATGGGTGGTATCTGTGACTGTGATGTGAATAACAGTACTTGTTCCTGCCCTACATCTTGTGCACCTACAGATACTGCATTTAATTTTCCTACGCTTTACTTTCCCACCTGTAAAAAGGGGATGGTAGCACTTCCGTATCTCATACAGCTGCTATTTTGAGAAATAAATATTGGGAACTGCTTAGATGCCATTGTAATAGACATGAATTAAATACAATATATGAGAAATAAGATTGTGCAATTGTTATGATCATTGTGAATTATTATGGATAGGTACAGAGTGATTGAATTAATAGTCTTTAAACAAGGATAAGGGCCAGCAAAAATACCTGAGAAGGTAAAATGCACATTTTTCCATGTTACTTACAGTGAATAATAACCAAGGTAAAACTAGGTTTTTTCCTCTAGTCTCTTACAATAATTATTTTCAGACAGAAATGTGATAACTCTGTATGTTGCCTCATTACAAAAGCAATGATTGTGAATGTCTCATTCAACTTTTTTCCCCTGTTTTTATGGTTAGTGTTGAGAAGCGCAGCACGGACGCCCTGCACACGCAGAGAGCTGATCCAACACAGGCAGGGCAGGAAAATGTGCACTTCCAGCAGCCCTGCCGTGGCTCGGCGGGGAAAGCTGTGCAACAGGCAACTGTGCAGCGTGCACTACGCTGCGTGCAGTAAGCACCGTGCAATGTGCAGCGTGCACTGAACAACGTGTGCTCCGCAACGTGCAGCCTGCGGCGGGCAAGGAGTGCTGCACAATGTGCAGGGCGCACTGTAACAGATGCGCTGTGCAATGTGCAGCGTGCCCTGTGCAAGGCGCGCTGCGCAACCGTCGGCGCGCACTGTGCAAGGTGCGCCCCGCATGTTGCAGCAGCATGCACCGGGCACGGCG